AAGTTTGAAAATACAGTTAGATCATTTGAATTAGTTTAACTTCTGTGTGATCTATGTGCAGCCTTTTTTGGAGGTTTTTGGTAAATCGGGAGTACAACAATGTGATTAAACAAAATGTCTGCCAGGAGGAGTAATTGGATTTCCAATTTACGCCGAGCTTGTAGGTGGTTTGACTCACTTGTGTAAGGGCAAACATGGACTCGGGGGTGAATTTGCTTGCAATCAATAACCCGCCTTCTCCCAGGCTCTGAACCTTTATCTGTTTCCTCAGATCTAACTGGAGCTTGTATTGATCTGTGTGAGTGACAGATGGGCTTGTATCGAGGCGGTCTGCTGGCCTTTTGCTGCCGCAGTCATTGTTGTGCATACAGATCGTTGGTGCGTGACTCAGACTGATCAAAGTTCAGTCGTGTTATGTATCATGAGCAAACTGTACACAGCAACACGATAAAGACAAGCTAGGAAGAGATAAGTGTTGGTCCATGATACTGTAAATGTCACAATAACAGTTAAAGTGAGAATTATTAGGAAATCAGCTGTTGAATGTAAAATAGTGTCTGACTTTTACCCTGTAAAAATTATCAAATCTCCTCCCTTAAAAGTGCCATCTTAATCATTCACAACTTTCAACTTTAAACCCTCAAGATATAGCACTAGATAAGCTATGAACAGTCAGCGGTGAGGAACTGATATCAGTCCTGTAACTTTTATTTTCCCTGCAACCGTCCTTGAAATGAGCAAAGGAAGCACCTTCCCTCTGTCCCTGCCGTCCTTTGACTTCTCTAGACCAAGTGATATTGAAATCTGTGACCGAACGCCATGTTTTCTGTGACCTGGAAACATCTGTAAGGGGGGAATACCGACATTACTCAGAATAAAAACATCACTTCGAAACCAAAACTGCAGGCTGTGGAAATACAGTGTTTCCATACATTCTGGGCTGGTTCACTTATTCATAGAAAAATCCCTGAATGACACATTTAGAAACAAAGAAGAACTGAAATGTCAGTCTCAGTATGAAGTACGGGTTAGCTGAGTGATTCCAGGGATGTTAATCCATCCATCACGTTCATCCAGACATCTAAACAACTCATGCTTCCCGAAAGATAAAGCTTAATGACTTTGTTGATCCCCTGACACTCATTTAAATTAGCTGTTTTTGGTCAAATGTCCTTGTTAGTTAAGTGCAACAAAATATTGGTGCAGACAATCACATTCACCTCAGGATGAATTGTAATAATTGTGGGTATCCATTAACTATTCTGTTGTGGTTTAAGGCCCCTTTTACACCTGGTATCAATATACAGTCGTTACCTGGGAACATGTCTGGGCAATGCTGTGCTTACTCCAGCACTAGAGGCAGAGTTAAGTGACCTTTGCACTTATCAGGTGGATTTTCTTTTTAATTGTTTCCTGCATTTACTCCTGACTAGTCTGATCACAATTTGAGTCTAACTACCTTCAAATGTGTTCTGCATGCATCCCACTACAATATGTAGACAACATTTACAGCCAACTTTTTAATCCCAGGGTTTAATGGGCTATATGACACCAATAATTATTTGTTTTGCATATGAAATGTCTTCTTGATGCTGATATTGAATGAATGAGTTGTAACATCCTGACCCTGTGATGCCTGCAATGTTCACCTTCACCAAATCTCACAGTGTGGCAGCGAAAGCAGAAATACATTCATTAAATATTCACAACCTCAAAAGGAAAAGGATGCCACAGATTGACTCTTTGAAGACACATTTTAGACAAATTGAAGAGATTATAATATTATATCTGCATGCTGCAGTGATGTTATCTCATTAGTTTACTAAACAATGTTTATACCTCAGCAATTCTTCATCGGGATATATTTTTTCTCGTGAACGCACCCCTTACTTCTATTAAAATGAAAGCCGTTTCTAGGGAGCTATTAATAGGTGAAATTGGACATGCACCAACTTTGTATCTGCTGTTTGGGCCTCTGGCAATATCCCACAATCAACTATCCATCAAAAGGAGAACGTTTCCTTTTGAACGCTCTGCCCACATTTATTTCCCCACGGGAGTCAAATCCTGCATGACTGGTACTTAATCCCATCTTTCCCAATAACTTTCTCCCTATGAAGCAATATTTCACTGCACTGATGTGATACTGAGGTGTGGAGAAAATCAGAGAACATTTCTGTAAGCACATATGACTTTATAGTGTGTGTGACAACAGTATCTTAATTGTTTAGATAACAGCGTACTCACAACCAAACAAAACTAATAAGGGTTGTGCAATTGAGTATTTGGCATTATATCCTTGTCTAGGCAGGTCGTCAACATTTTTCATGGCTTTGTTTAAAGCTCTGCCAAAATGAAGTCTTGTATTTCAGGCTTAGCATCTTTGTGTTTTGTGAAGTTCTGCCCTGTGAAAATGTCTCTGCATCCCTTTTGTATGAAATAGCTTTTATTATCTGAGCTTATTAATAATACAAATCTCCTCTTATATGTGAGTGCTTTCTCTCGGGTCTCAATTGACGTTTTCAAACACCGACCCTTCCCAGAAGATGCTGTGTATATTCTGTGAGAGGATGAGCCACCGGGGGCTTTTCCTGAGCTGAGGAGACATCTTGTGGTGAGGGGGAAACACTAGCCATTGGACAAGGTCAAAAAGATAAAATGTGGTAGATAGCTTCCTCGGACCAGGAAGTCATTTATCATTTTAGCTTTCAGACACCAACAACAAAGATGGCACAACCTCTTGGCCTAAATACTATAGATTTATAGAGGAAAATGTATATAAAAGGAACTAAAAAGCTTGTTTTTCTTATTTTTAGAGAAAGGAGACTCATGAGCTGACATTCATGGATAATTGCATGACTCTCATGAATCTCATGACTTTTCACTTCCTTTTTGTTGTTCATGAAAACATTAATCATCAGCAAGGAATTAAAGTTACACCAGGACATCTTATTATAGTACTTAAAAGCATGTTTTCTTTATTATATGAGAGATTTTGTTCGGAAATTAAGATCATGATACTTGAAATATTAATGCCAACTCTATCCTATTAAATGAAAGCAGTAAAAAGTTGAAACAAATACCTCCAAGCAACTCTGGATTACACAAAACCATGAAAGATCGGTTCAGCTTGCCCAACATGCTGAGTAAAGCCAGACAAAACAGCGGAAGGCAAACAAACTCAGCTGGATGTCATTATCGCAAATATTTCAACCATGTTTCCACCTGGTGAGCATGAAACAACAAAGGCAAATGTTTTCTACAAATGAAACACTTTTCCGTTGATAATACAGCCAGAGCTTCTAAAGACTGTGTTGTTTGTTTGGTTCAAAGCTGTGTGTGTTTGCAGATAATTTGTAATGCCAATATAAAGAAATGCAACTCTTTAGAAAGATTTGTCTGGGAAACAAACACACAACAGAGGAAGAAAGGTCCTCCCTACTGAGTGATGTTACACTGAGGCCTTTACAGTGTGTGTTTCCCAGCGTCGGCTGTACCACCCATCACGCCACATACTGTTGAGTCCCTGCGAAAGCTAATTTCTACTTTCTGATGGTTAAACAAGTGTGAGATCTGACAGAGGGACGACACAGAAACAAGGCGGTGGCGGACGTGCTCGCCTAACCCTCTTCTGCCCGCCTGACCAGTATCAATTTGCAGCACACATCCTTCCCTCCTCTTCCTGTTCCCGCCTCTTTATGATCCATTTAAGGGGATGGCTGACAGTGACATCGGGCTGCATCATACAGCACAAAGGCCTTGAGTGAGCTCTGACTGTCATGGTGTGTACTGGGAAACACAGACTGTCTTTCACTGGGCGGCACTGTGACCGACTGAGCGCTGCCCCTGCAGGGAAAATGACATCCATTTTTGCAATGCTTGATTCCAACAACCAATAGCTTTGCATCCCCAATAATCAATTTCATAGTAAAGTAGGTCAGCATTTACAAAAGAATAGCTTCAACAAACGATCTTAGCCTGCTAAGTAATGGTTCATTTAGTTATTTAGGGTACTAACTTCCTGTGAATCCCAACTTGTTTGAGCACAGTGTCACAGAAGTTAGAGGACCCACTGCAGTGACCATGGCAACCTCGTTCAAGCCACAACAAGAGGGGTTTTGTCCTCGAGGGCCGCTCTAGTGAACCCTACTGCGCCTGCTCTCCTTTTTATATCACTTTCTCACTCTTTCTCTGTCTGTCTCTTGTACACACACATACACAAACAGGCACACACACATATACACAGAAACCAGTTTTTCTTTTTTTCCTTAATTTTCCCAGGGTGCATGGTGTGCCTGCATGGTGGAGTGTTTACGGGATGTTATCTCCGTCAGTGCCGGCCCCCCATCCCTCTGAGTGGGTTTTCTGAGGAATGCTGAAACGGGATGGAGGAGTTCCAAAGGGGGAGTGACGAGAGAGAGACAGGCAGACACTGGGAGAGAAAGGGAGAGAGAAGGAGGGAGGGAGGGAGAGAGGTAGGGAGTCTATATATACATCCCAAGGAGGCTGGTGCTCACAGGCACAGCTGGACTACTGGATAACTGGACTGTAGCCCACTGGATATTTTGCTAGAAAGGTGAGTTTTTATACTTTTTAATTGCTCTAATTCTTTGTTCAGCATCTCCATCATCAACTTTTACCACTTTACCATCATTTTCAATTTCCAATTAAAGGTTGAAAAAGAGTGGGAACAGAAAGAAAGACTAGGGAAAGAAGAAAAAAGCCAGAGAGAATGGAGGAAACAAAAAAAAAGAATGAAAAACCCTCAATATCTAGTGTTGTTGTTTAGCTTGTCTCACCATTGTCAAAACCGAATCTTTGAAGAAATGCATTTTACTTTTTTTCTTTAAAAAAGTCTTGTATTTCCTTAAAAGTAAAATGTTTTCAACCAAAACAGTTAAAATCTAAGGGATGTTCAAGAGGTGGAAATGAATCCTTTGGAGGATGTGGTCTTGTTAAGGCTCTGCGGATGTGGTTTTCTATGTAAGCTCTATAGCTCTATATCACAGCATATCACATTGAAAAGTGAGACCAGTGTTTGAACAAGTGCTGTGTCGGACTCGCCTTTTTCCTTTCACAAAAATATATTCAACTTTTGTTGCTAAAAGACGACAAACTTTACACATTTTCTGAAGATATTTTCAAACACAAACCAAGATAATTACTCAGTAAGTATTTATTTCATTGTTATTTGTTTTTCATTTAAATTAGAATGGAATTTAATTATTTTATATGATTACACATTTGAATTTAAACAGTGCACTTTTATTTTCTATCACATAGAAATGTAGAAATATTATAAAAGCACTGATGGTATGTGGCTGAATAAATTAAACGTAACGAGTGCAGTGATAGGAAAGGCTGTAAAAGGACACCACTGATCTCATCACTGCAGCAATTATTGGTGAGCCTTTTTTCTGTGGTTACACATGTAAACCTATATTTGTATATTTTTCTCATACAATAACCTCTTACAGATTTGTATGTGATTTTAATTACGGGGCTGTGATAATTAAGGAAGTGTGATTGCTTTATTGAACAAGTGCATTAAAGGGGATTTCTTGCTCTCTCAGACCTGGGTGTGCCTTTTTCTAAACTGGATATTGGCTTCAGGGAACGAGAGATTAGTTAGATCATCTCTCTTGTGTATTTTACATCGAAAATCATACTGTCGTTACCAAAGTAAAACACCCTCTTTTACCATGATGTGAACATCTGTGTTTGCTTTGGGACTTGGCTATTGTTAGAGCAGTACAAAACTAACATCCCAAAGGGCCAGTTCTGCAGTGTTGCACAATACTCACATCATAATTCACGAGTAAACACACCATGTTTGATATTTGTTCTGAATTGCCATCCATGTGTGTCTCATTTGTGTACTTTCATTAGCTTTTTTCTGATAGCCTATGTGTCAATGGCAACAAGGCTTAAAAACGAGTCCCTGTCATTAGCTGAGGCTCTGAGGGTGCGGCATGAAACTGGATGCCTACATGTGCAGACATGACCTGCCGTTTGCTTTATGATAGGGTTTCGTTTCTCAGGAAAAAGGCCCGTGAGAAAAAAAAAAAATACTTATTCTCAGCTGTTTATGGTTTCATTTCCAACTCTAACTGAAAAAAGAAAAAGGAGTGCGTTCATTTTTTACTGAAATGTCTTCACACTGAAATGAACTTTACAAGGGTTTCATGTTTCTTCTTCTTTCAGACACAAGCAAAGCCTCTGGAAGTGGGAACCATTTTAAATTAGTAAGTGTGAAATACATAAAACAAAGATGAACAATGTGGCAGATTGGCTCGTCCAGAACAGGGACAAGATCGAGAAAGGTGTGGAGATCATGGGGCAAGCCTCTGAGGTGCTCGCTGCCACTGTTGGCCAGCTTCACCCCATCTTAGAGGCTGTGTTCGTGGCCTCAGCCGAGATACTCAACAACCCGGACAGCAAGGAGGCTCGCTACCTGACTCAGCAGTTTGAAATGGTCAACCAGCAACTTGAGGGAATCCAGGATGAGATCGATCAAATTGCCCTGGAGCTGCAGAAGGCGTCACTGAACAAGCAGAACTTCGATCGTGAGGCGCAGATGCTCAGCCAGTATGAAAAGTTCCAAGACTTTGTCAACGCCAAGCCAAAGTTCAAGGAGAAGAAGATGGAGAAGTTCATCAGCCATTACGAGAACACAGATTCCGACTTGAACCTGGACGCCCTCTACAATGCCGTCATTGGGGAGAGCACAGCAGGAGACCCGATGCTGGAGACAGTAGTCGCCATAGAGCAGAGAAGCAGAAGGGCAGTTGAGGATTTCTGCGCCCGGCTGAAGAAGCTTTTTGTGGTCGGCATTATCTCCGTCATGGGCCATTCTGCCCTCAAGGAAGGGGTGGTGGGGGAGGATATGGTGAAGAAGTGGCAGGGACGGATGGAGGATGTCGAGAAACGAATGAAAGCGGCTGTTGATGAGTGTACAGAGAACTTTGCAGATCAAGCCAAAATGGACATTGAGCACAAGCTTCTGGAGAATCCCGGCACCGTCAACCAGGACTTCACCAAATCCCTTCTGGATTTGCTTGTTAAGAAATACGACTGGGTGAACTGGTCCGTCAGGGCTTTCAGCAACAGGGAGCGCATTTTCTTTTTCAACTGGCTGGCAGGAAAGAAATGCCATGGAAGTGGAGGAGCCAACTGGTTTGACATTTTGACCAAGACCAAGATTAAAGTGGTGGTCTCTTTCTGTGATGACCCCAAGCCCATTAACAAGAGTCAGATCCTGGAGCAGATTGAGAGTCAGAAGATGAAGGGGGACATGATGGCAGTGGCTCTGGCGTTGAACAAGAGCTTTCCCAACTACCTGGTCCATGCTGTCAGCCATTACAAAGAGGTGGTGCAGTCCAACAACTTCCATGAGGACTGTTACTACTATGGGAAACACAAAAGGGCCTACTTGTGTATCCACTCCGAGTAGGCTCACAGAGAAACATAAAGTGTAGCCGCCCGCAAACAGGAAGAAATTAGCTACACATAAATTCATGAATGTCTTTACCAGAGCCCTGAAAATCTCTCCATTAAATATAGAAATGGATTCATAAATATTGTCTGTGTTGATGCATAATCTGCCCGGTTTCTGGAATGTGATTCATTGTCTTACTCGTATCCATTTCTATTCTTTTAGATAAATCTTTAATCTGTTGATACAGCAGCTTCAGCGCCGTATATCTCAATGCCAGCTTTGACTTAATGTCATAACATGTGATACTGTCCCTAATTTGATGCTAGGATTGGGCGATATGACAAATTAGTCAAATAGCTTCAAGAAACTTTGCCATGAGTTTATTGGATTGATTCATACCATTGAGGGCAATATTGTAAACGAATTAGCAGGACTACTTTATGGCGTGATTTGATTTGTATTTGATTTTCTTTTGCATTAATGTGATGCCTTGTCCATTTGGGTTATTTTGAGCTTTACAGTTTATTATTTGCCTTTGAAAGCTGTAGAATAAGTGAATGGACCGTGAGTTGGTGCGGTTTTCTCAACTTTGGATTCTGATGTCAAAAATATTCTTTGAAACTCAACATTTAAAGGAATATTTTTACATCCTGGGAAGAGCACTCACTTACTTCCTGTCAAGAGTAAAATAACAAGATTGATACCACTGTTGTCTGTCTGTAAGATAAAAGACTATAGCCAGGACGCAATAAACTCAAATTAGAAAAAAGACTTGAAACAGGAAGTCTAGGAATGTTAATTTACAGAATATCTACAGGAGTATTTCTTGGTGGGTGACATCCCGGATCTTGACACAAAACCTCCTGTAAAACACCAAAGTACACTTTGTTTTCTTATACAATTAAACGAACAAGATATTACTCTAAGCTTAGATAAACGCCTCCTGGCTGGAGCTTCATATATAGCAAACAGACATGTTAGTGGTATTATTTCTTCTCATCTAAATCATTTCTTTCATATGGTCAGACGAATCAGAAGAAGTCATTTAAACTTAATTTGAGATTTTGTTGTTATGTTTTTGTTTCTCAATTGATTTTCCAGAATGTGCACCACCTAGGCATAGACTTTATATCACAAATAAATGAATGACATGTACTACAGTAATTGATTATATTGATATTATCGCCTACTCCTAGATATAAATGTGTATAAAATGAAATCAATTGAAAGTTTCTTGCTGCTTTTAATGCAATTCATGGCTGCAGGGCAAACGTCCAAAATCCTTATTCTACAATCATTTAATCAAGACACTTGTATATTTTACTTTAATTTGTAATAAACAAAAATATATGAATGGTTTTGTCATCATTGGTCATTATTACTCAGCTATTTTAAAGTAATTAAAAACAATTATAAATATTGAAAAGTCATGACTGATGAAGTGCATTGTTCTGCTGACAGTATTTTTACTCAGAACTAATCTCCTTCAACAGTAATAATGCTTTATTGCCATGCCATTGTGTACCAAATGGGTGGAGGTAGATTTGTAATAATATCACCACATCAACAACCTATTATGCTCACAACCTTTTTTTTCTACCTCCACCACCCAAGTTTTTTTTTTTCTGGGTGTGCCTCTGCTCTGTAACTTGAGAGCCACATGACCAATAGGAAGGCAAACAAACTCTGGAAGTTAGGGTATTTCTTCCGCAAACTTTTTGAGGTGAGTCCATTTCTGTTCCAAATGCTTTATAGTTGACAGGCTTACATAGGTTAACTGTGGTGGTAGTGCTAAAACACTTTAATATGAAATGATCGATTCAGCTTCATCGACTCCATTTCAGACTCGTTACATAATCGAGCTTTTCCCCCCTCTTTAAACACACTGGAGTGCCGTTAAAAAACGTCCAATAGGCTACGGGTATTTTGTCAACGTAGCTTTGATTTAATAAAGTGAAGTGGCTCATTAGATGAATCTGCACTTTTAAATGCAGTTTAAACAAAAAATAAGTTTCGATTTTCTGGGCGTTGGTTGCCAGATCTGGTGCCACCGCTTCACTTTTTCCAGGAAGTGTCAAACTTACAAGGCGTTGTGTTGCGCTGTAACAAAAAACGTATCTGTGGTGTTAACCTGCGATGTTTGTTTGGCACTCTGTCCCTCGGCTGTAAAATGATACAATTAGAGGCCTCGTACACGGACTGATCGATACTTTTCCATTAAGAGGGAGCATTAACAGAGCGCTTAGCTCGTCTCTCAGTGGCCAGACTGAGCGGTCAGCTGAGGGTTTGGTCATCTGTGTTCAGAGGAAGCTCTGCCACATAACATAAATGAAACATGAATCAGCTCAGCTCTTAAGAGACATTATGTGTGTCTGTTTGAAGTAGATACACTCAGATCAATACACTTCGGTATGCTATGTTTTGTTTTGAATCATTATAACAATTGCTGATATAGCCTTATAATAAAAAATATCAAGAAACAATTCAGTGGACGTTGTCTATTCTACTAACCTTTGTAAGAATACAGCAAACGCCACACTGTGATAGTAAAAGTCCAGCATTAAGAGTGTTACTTAGCCACATAAGTCAGTACTTTAAGCTACAGTTAATGTCTGTAAATGTACTTAGGGTATATCCAAAGTAAAAAGTGTTAACATGACCAGATCACAGATGCATCAATGTAGAGTATTTTACAATAGTTGGTACATTTTGAGCTATTTTAAACTGCTTTTACATTAGTAGTCCAGTGATTTCCAAACTATAAGGTTACAAAATTAGTCTGAGGTGTCTGGAGATTATTAAAGGGGTAGGGAAGACAAAAAACAAAGCTATTCTAAACAAATCTGCTTTCTTCTTTTGTTTACTTTTCTGTAATCTTTTCTTTTTTTGTAAAATACATTAATCCATTGGGCCTTTGAACAGAACTTATTAAGGCCTAAATTAAACCAATGTGTCAATGTTTCCCACTTAAATTTTGTACAGCGTAGTATAAAATGGAAATATGAAGGTATCTCAAATTCGAAGTAAAGTACTTGATATGTAAATTAACCTTTCCGCTTCTGTGTATCACTGAATTTAAGTGGAAATCGTTGCAAAAAAACAGACGTGTTATTCTTCTCTGCAGCCTGGCATTCATACTGTATCCTCTATGGTGAGAGTTGCCCTCCCAGCTCTCTGTCTCTGAAAATGTGATTTCTTCAAGCACTTTTGTGTTTGAATTGTGTGTGTGAGGGTGCTTCACATGCACTCAGACTGCAGTTACACGACCCCTGGGACCCTAGAAAAAGATAGAGAACATCAGTAGGAAACAGGAATCACAATTTTAGCACGGTCAAATCAAATAAGATACAGTAACTGTAAATGTTCCGACATCCTGCCTGGATTTCCTGTTCTGTTGTCAAGTCTTACAAGGAAATCATGTAGATATGACATACTAGTATTTTTTCCACAGTATTCATGGTATTCAGGTGTTTACTGCATCATGTTGACAAATGAGTGCCATCTTCTCTCTGCAATCTTCTGCAGTCTAGCTAAATAAACCCTGCAGAGCAGACCTCAGCAGAGAGACAACAAGCTGACAGATTATTTTCCATTGTCTTGTTGCCGTGGTTACTTGCTGAGTTTCACTGGAAAACGCACCCTTGCCCAGCAAGTTTAACCTCTTACACTTAATCACTTCCCACGCCTGCTGCTCTATTATTGACTGGGCTGCAGCACTGCTGCTTCGCCGTTAGCCACAAATATTTTTTCAACTGAAGGCCAGAATCCTGATTATAAATGTGAGGCCAGCTTCATCACCTTGAGCTGTTGCATAGACAGTCATTGTGAGACAGAGTATGTGGTCATCATTTTGCAGCAAAATTAAACATTACCAGAAGAGCAATGGGATATGTCTGAACATGCCTAGACAATCCATCTGGGTTGCTCTCACAGTCAGCCTTTTCTCTGTTTCCTGGCCTTGAAATAAACTATTTGTGTTTAACAGGATTTTCCAAATCCAGTGGCCCCCTTTTTTCAAGTGAAGGCTTAAGTGCACAGCAGGAATTAGTTTATATTATATCAATAATGCCTAGCATATGTACTTACATCTTAATCATTTGTATTATTATGTGAGGGTAAATGATTTACCACCTGGGTGAAAATGTAGTTGACTTATTTACAGACCGACTTACAAGAGGTTTCCATGCAGACATATTGGAGATATAGATATAAGAGTGGGCTTGATTTGCTCATTTAACTTTAGGCAAGAAAGTGTGTTTCCCAAAAACTAATACTTATATTATATATTATATTTTTGTGGACAGTCTGACAACATTTAGGGGAGATAATATAATTCATTATTTCAGGCACATGCTTTAGTGTTTTCCAGACATCTTAATGTATACTGTCATTGCATGCTGTCTATATCAAAGGTGAGCTCATTAAAACTACTCCTTGTCCCATTTCAACAAGTCACACTGTACTGAGAGAAATGGTAAATTGATTGTTGAAGTTAGAGTTACTCATCTAATTATCACAATGTAAACCTAAAATAATCATTAAGCCTTTTAATGAAACTTGTTGATTTTCCAAAAGTAAACACACAAATAACAAACAAACAGTTCAACCCTTACTGGCCCTTCGTCACTGCTGAATTCCCTCTGCATTGTTGACTCATTGCTCACTGGGTGTGGCCAACCGCCAGCACTGAAGCTCACTTGGCTGTTTCTCTCTTTCCTTATCAGTTTTGCTGTGTTGTAAGCGGAGCAAAGGAGCAGGCCGCAGTCCAACAACACTGAAACAAACGGTAAGTCAATCTAGAAAACTCAACATTATTTTCTGTCAGTGAAACTAAAATGTCTGATACTTTCTGACTAATTTGTGTTCAGTGTTTTACCTGTATGTTTGTTTTTAAAAGAGGTTTCCATGCCTAAATATCACACCAGACAGTTTCTAACCATGTCTATATTCTTTCTCAGAATCAGTCCAAGAGACATCAGCAAAGATGGCAAACCAGCTACAGAAGCTTATAGCGGAAAGGAAGGATATGGTGGAGACCGTGATGGATGTCTTTGAGCAGGGGGCTGAAGTGGTGGCCAGCATCGCCGGCGACCTTTTCCCCATTTTCGCCATCGCTGCTCCACTTGTTAGACTGGCTCTGGACAATGTGGAAAGCAAAGAAGCTGTGTTCATGAAGGAGCAGTTTCAGAAGGTTCGAGATCGTCTGGAGGTGATATCAGAGGAGATTCAGCAGATCAACGATGAGATCAAGAAGAGCGGATTGGATGCTGTGTATTTCCCAATAGAGGAGAACATCACTAACCAGTTCAGGAAGTACATGGACATCCTCAACGCCAAACCCAAGTTCAGGGAGGTCAAGAAAAAGCTTTTCCTGGATCATTTTGCCAAGACCGGCGGTGACAAAAACCTTATCACCCTCTACAACTCTGTCACGGGAGATAACTTCTCTGGGGAATCTGTGCTAGAGATCACCCTGAACTACGAGGAGAAAAGTCGCCGGCCGGTTGAAGACTTCTGCGCCAGACTAAAGAAACTCTTCTGCGTCGGGCTCATCGCACTTCTGGGCCACGCCGCTCTGAAGGGATACGACGAGGAAGACGCACTTCTGAAAGACTGGGGTGAGAAGATGAAGACTGTCCAGACTAAAATGAATGCCGTGATCGAAGACTGCATCGTCAGCTTCCCCAAACAGGCTGAGAGTGATAGCTGTCGTTTGGTGCGTGACGAGTCAAACCTAACCAACCAGCAGCTAGCTGACGCCATCATAGAGAAACTGAAGAAGAAGTATGACTGGGTGGGATGGTCCGTGCGTGTATTCAAGTCCCCTTCAGGCCTGTTCGCCAACAAGAAGGATTACCACTGCCCCACAGGGAAGAGTCGCTTCCAGATCCCTTCATCAGACGAGAAGCTCAACGTCTGGGTGTCCTACAGCTCCTCGCCCGAGCCTGTGGACAAGAATCACATCCAGCAGCTGATCCAGAGTCAGAAGAAAGTCACCACAGTCAGTGTATCAGAGGTCCTGTTTGAGAAGTTGCCCGGCGCCTGCGTGGTCCACACGGTCAAAACCAGCAAAGACCTGGCCTGCTCCTGGAGCTTCTCAGGTGACCTGCACTACTGGGAGGAGCACAAAAACTTCTACGTCGCCGTCCACTCGG